AAAAAAACAAAATTGAAAAGAAATTCGGGTTTTCAACCTTCGTGGGTTCTCATGACCGGTGAAAACACGGCGTGTTCGGCCCAGCGCATCAGTAATTCGGTGTCCCTTTGCAAGGCGATGAAAAAGGAGGTGTAACCTCCGATGTCAGAATGGGTTCTGGTCAATCCACTGACGGCTCCCGACAATGCTAAAAATGTGTTTTTAAAAAATTAAAAATAATTTGTGAATGCTTGATTCTGATTGATTCGCATATTTACCTGCTGTTATCACTGACGGAAGACCATCAGCAGGCTCGTAATTGACGTTTTGGTCTCCAGCCCACATCATTTGCTGAAAGACGGATGATCCCAGTGTTCCGGATCTTTGGAACGTGAGCGAGTCGTGCAATTTTTCTCTGCTCATTAGGGCCTCACTGGAATTTCGGAAATTTAGATTTTTTCAGCCGGAAAAACTGAGATGTTAACAAATGAAATTCGAAAGAAAAGATGCCCTCTTATTTAAAAACGAAAATTCCCGGCTAGCTGAAATTAGAATTCTGTTCCGCATGCACGACTCACTTTAAAATACTTATTATATTATTGGGGACTCATTAACGATTTGATTTCAATCATCGATCTTATTATGAGTATTTACTCGGGGAAAGCTTTTTTATTTTAAAATCTAACGTCATGGTGTCACATATGAAGGATTTTGTCATCTACAAAAAACATAATTCGTTGACCTCAAAAATTTATCGTCAGAATTCTCAAAACCATTTATCGTACGATTAAAAAAAAAAACTTTGAAGCCATCCGTCGCTCTTCATTTGATAAGAATTTTATCAATTCCACCTACGATTTGAATATTAATTGATCTCCAACATCACGACAAAATTTAGATTGAACATAACAAAACCATTTTCTAAGATCCGAATAGGTTTCCCTTTGAATATGATTGTTGGAATTGAGATGTTGCTAAAAAATATTTTTTATAAGATCAACTATTACTTATCCCGCTTTAAAATTGAATAATTTGGAAGTGGGGTCAGTGGAAGTTAATAACGGAGCACCTCTTCCTTTTTCGTCGTATATCAGCAGAAATTTGAAAGCTGCTCTGGAAATTATCACCGCAAAACTTTGTAAATGTACCTCAACCTTGGTAATGAATGATGCATTCATTACCAACAAAAAAGGACGATAGGCTGTCAACATCCATGAACACTTGCTCATGAATCACCTTCAATTCAATGAGAAAAAGAAAGAACACATACTTACAAGTTACACTTGGCCCAAATATCCGGGAAGATATTATGAAAAGTCTCAGCGTCCATCCCGAGATTATTCGCAGCATGCGTGGGAATGTACTCGGCAAAGTCCACCATCCAGCCAGAAATCCCAAAGTCCAACATGTTCCTACCCAGGACCTCCTCTAGAAAGAAGGGTCTACATTTCTCACAACCACGTCTTTTACTTGGTGAAAAATAACACGCGTGAAATGTAAGCATGATTGTTGACAGTTAAACAACCTGAGTACCACTGGAAAGCTTCCGGGTTGGACAGGTCCACCGTTCCAGCATAAAATCCCGCGTGATCTTGAATCAAGATTTCTCCGGCTTTGTCTTTCATCAAGTAATTCATCATGGCTGCCTCTTCAAACATGTCGCCGTCCGTGTTTAGGTAGGGATTCACGTAGGCCAGGAGACGAACATTTTCTGCCTTCAAGTCAGCTATGATAGTGTCCAAATCTGGAAAAATAAAGGAGCAACTTTTACTCTCTTTCACATTCGGTATACAGCCTTTTTTGTATGAAAAGTTGCATCGTCCGTTTTTGGAAAAGGTTGAAGTTTCTAAAAATGAAAATTTATTTTGCTATACGCGTACTTTGCGTCGAGCATATTCCGAATGTTTGACTTGGAAATTGTGGTATATTTTCAGGGGACAATAAATATAAATTCTAAATTCATATTCCTTTTTCGATCAACAACTCGAACAAAGTTCGAAAAAAGCAGTAAAACAGGTGTTTCTGCCGATAAATAAAAAGAAGTCCCTGTGAGTGTTTCTCTAGAAAATTCAGGATTCTATTCGACCTAAAAGTGAAAATGAGCCGTATTGTGCACTTCTTTTCCACTTCGGCAGTCTAAGAAGTGGGCCAACGTTTTTGCACAAAGTTCCTGCTGCTGTATAACGAGACTCTGGTTTGTAGAATGGCCCCATCACTCAGAGTAAGGTCGCGGTTAAGGTCTTTTGAGCCAAGGGCTAAACGCAGACCTTAAAAGGCCTGGTTAGAACTTAGGTTTGACGCGATTAAAAATGAGGGCGTAGAGCAGCGGTTCTGTAGATGTCAATCAACTGTTGAAAAAACATAAAAAAATTTAAAAATGTATCCTAAATCAGAGTAAAAATATATTTTCAATGCCGGATTCTCTACGCTAATCCCGGGGCAATGGCTGGGCGGCACGCGGAATTTTCCGGTTGAAAATTCATTTTTCTAAAAGTAAACCCACTATAACATTAACCAACGAATTTTTGGATGATCAAATGAAGTACTGATGCATCACAGTTTGAATATGAATCAATAGAGAAATGCAATGACTTCGACTCAAAGCATGATACATTAATTGGAGTCGGTGGTAAATTTAAGCAAGGTGCTGCCATGTTTTGAAAGTGGTACAATCCAAAGGTTCAAAAGTCCTGATAATCTGCATAACGAATCTAAGGAGTGACATTTTTTGTTGGATTATCTTTCCTTATCAATAAGTAAGCTGATAATGATTCAAAAATAATGCAGCTCAAATGCGCAATAAATTTCCCTTCGTAGACAGGACTTGAAAAATCGGCACGTACCCTTTCAGTACCGCCTTGAATGCTTATGATGGCGCCATTGAAAACCCAATCCGGCTTGCTGTACCGCAGCCACAACTCGGTGAATGTGTTGTCTCTATAGTCCCTGAATTAGAACAACGAGTGATTCTTACTGTGACAATAGACGCACCTGCAAGGCAACGGCACCTGCTTTTTAAGCACGATATCGTCCTTGCCGAAGTTCATCACCATGTATCTATGAAGATTGCAACAACAACAAAATTAAATTAAATTTTAAATTTTGACTGCATATATTTGGGGCGAGAACTTGCGTTTTTTCGTGAGCAATGGCGTAATACTTTCTGGTGGACAAGAACAACGGAATTGGGTAGTATGAGGTGTGATAGTCTCCAGCTGCTCCTGCTAAGCAGTCTAACTGACAGACACTATGCTTACTTGGAAGCAGAGACGGCTAAGGACACTAAGCAAAACCTCTTTTTAAGGAAGTGCGTAAAAAAAAAAAGGAAAGCGACTGTGTGTGACATTAAAGAATATATGCCTGCGATTCAAGAATAAATTTATATTTCTAACAGATTGGATAAACGTTTACTGTTAACATTCCTCGCCTTCCACTCGATTGTCTTGAATGAAACCATTTCCAAATAGGCGTAAAATTAATTCAAAAATCCTAAAATACTGAACAGTTAATCAGCAATAATTTTATTCAAACGCTACATACTTTCCCTGGAAGCAATGCTTTCTGATGATGATAGAATTAATGCGGAAATTGCATAAATGTCAAATAGATATCGTGGAAATTATTCTCAATCGAATATGGGATAGTTTTTCAAGGTACAAATAATATCAGATCATCAGAGCACTGATTCCACAAATTAAATCATGGTTTTCACATCCATTAAATACAGTGCGTCCCTTTTGCAAAAATCGGCAAGAGCCAATATAGCTCATGTTCTCGAACACGGACTTACGTATTGTTTTATAAATTTTACAAATATACCAACAGTGTCTCGATGTAGAAGAATAGTTTAGTCTTCCTTTATCAATCATTGAATAGTAGTCTCCAATCATAATGACTGTCGAGTAGAAATTGAGTTCAAGCAAACATTTGAAACAAAAACGAGATTAAAAGCTGTACTAACGTTTCAGCATAGTACCGAAAAAGGGGACGTTATACTTTTCGGGAAGAACAGATGGCTTTATTTTTACAAATTATGTAGATTTTTCATATACATGCAAAACATTCGATCTCTTTTTCCCTCCAACACCTGATTGTAAGACAACATTGTTACTCCGAATCGTGAAGTTCATGAAACTGGCCAAAACATTTTTTTATGTACAGTATGGCTTCTTATTATAAAATTATTCTATAGATATATATATACAGAATATGCTTCTATCGTTTCTGGAAATAAATATAGTTTTACCTCTCCACTCTTCCTATCCATAACCACAAAACTATAGAAAATAATCATGGTAAAGCATAATAATGTATTACATTACTATCACAATAATTACCTCCTTCT